AGCTCTGGAACTAACCTTGTCGCAACCCTTTGCACTTTCTCTAATTTCTTGACGTGCTTGATCAAGTGCGGGTTCCAAGTGTGTGTGTGTACTCACCTAGTTGTACTCACCTAGTTGAGGTTGCGGGGGTCGAGTCCGAGCTCCTGGCCCCGCCTCTTCACTGATCGCTACTAGGTCACTCTCCCTGAGCCGTGAGCTTTATCATACCTCTGCTTAAAGCTATGTATGGATCCTGCCTCCACTACATCGCTTCCCAAACTATTCCACTTACTGACTACTCTGTGGCTGAAGAAATACTTCCTAACATCCCTGTGATTCATCTGTGTCTTCAGCTTCCAACTGTGTCCCCTTGTTACTGTGTCCAATCTCTGGAACATCCTGTCTTTGTGTGTATGTGTATGTGTGCCTGGGTATGTGTATGTGTGTCTAGGTATGTGTGTTTGTGTCAGTGTGTGTGTCTGTGTCTGTAAGTGTGTTTATGTGCGTCTGTATGTGTGTGTCTGTGGGGGGATGTACTTACCGAGTTGTGCTTGTGGGGGTCGATTCATAGCACCTGACCCAGCCTTGTAAACCACAATCTCCGGCATTACAGTTTTCTGGCCTCGTGAGCCGCCATATCTTCTCTTGACATAGTGCATTCAATTTGCCCCAAACACTTCCTCATATAACTCACACCATTTACCACTCTGACGCCGAAAAGGTATTTCTCTGTTGCTCATCTGTATCTTTAGCTTCTATCTATGTTCCTGTCCTCGCTCCTATGCAAGGGCAGGATCAGCAGCCCTACCAGCTCTGTCATAACCTCTGAGTATCTTGTATGTCGTAATCATATCTCCCTGAATCTTTCTTTCTTACACAGTCTTCATGTTCAACTCCTATAGTCTCTCCTCAGTCTCCTCTGCTCTGGAACAAGTCTGGTTTCGCACCATACTGGTGCTTCATACTCCATGATAGACCTAACATATGTTGTGAGTAGAGTCCTAAAATATTCTTGATATTTCTGAAGGCAGTTCTATGATCAGTTATCCTCTTATATGCTGCAGATGTTATGTGAACCTCTGGCGACATATTGGGCATATTGTTAACGCCAAGATCCTTCTCCTTTCTCACCTCTAAAGCATCATTCTGTGTCTGATCTCCTCTGTCAAACCTCAGCTTTCATAACATTGCACTTGCCTGGTTTGAACTCCAGTAACCACTTGAATGTGTGTTTGTGTGTGTGTGTAAGAGAGAGGAGGGAGAGAGAAAAAGAGGGGGAGGGAGAGAGTGGGGAGGGGGAGGGAGAGAGGGAGTGAGGGAAGGAGGAATGATATTTACATCATAAAAGAAACGTACCTTATGAATCTCATCTATGAATGATCACTTCTAGGCTCCTTCCTTTCACATCCATCCTCCCTCCCATCCTTCCTTCACTTCCACCTTCCCTCCGGTCATCACATATCATTATTCCTTCACCTATGTCTCACCTCCATTTCTGGGCGTTCATCCCAAGACACTTCCTCAAGCACAGCCTTCCTCTCATTGTATATTAAACAATTTACAATGTTTGCAATATGCTTTTTGCCAGGCTTGCAAGAAAATCCTCTCTACAGACAGAAGGCTTTGAGTAATAAAATGTTTCAAATAATGCACTATTGCCAGAAATTCAAGAAATCTCCTCTAACAAGTGAAATGAAGCTTAAACTGTCTTCAAGGATTACGGGAGGGACCATGGAGATTTTAAATCAGAATTTTTTTATATTCCATCGTAAGCTAAGAGTTATATTTATGTAAGCAATTATGCTGACCTTCAGTTTCAGGTAAGTTGTTATATACGGTCGTAGAACACAAACATGGGTGTAGATTTTAAAATATTTTTGATATTAGTTCATTTTTTCCATTTTATTTCATTTGTGTGACGTGGATAAGTTGCCCCGCGGCTTATGCTTCGTATTTTTTGTATCAGGAAAAATGGCTGGGCATCCCTGAATAGCGAGTGTTAAAAGCATCTTTTTGAAACATACTTAAAATTGGACTTCCCAGAAACAAAACTGGAAAGTATTTTTCCCTGTACCTCATGAAGTTGATTTTAAACTCAATAGCCACAATAAACAATGGAAACTTGAGTCTAGCAAAATAGATAATCTTATACTGTAAAGGAGGGAGACTTAATAACTTTAGTGAATGACAGTGATGCATTGAACAAAGTATAATGATTCAGGCTAGACAGGTATATAGTTCATGCCTTTGATATTGCGCAAGTTATCAGTAGCCATATAACCCCCCCCCCCCAATCAAGAAGATACGGTGTATACTGCCAGTAGCCCTATAGACCACCAACAAGATACGGCGTAAGCTGCAAGTTGTTGCCCTATAAGTCCCAACATGAAGATACGGCGAAAGGTATCAGTAGCCCTATAAAGCACCAACAAGATACAGCGTAAGTTATCAGTGACCCTAAAGTCAGCCAACAAGAAGGTTTAATGTCCTTCCACACTGAGGTGACTTGTGCTGATGGTTC